GGTCCTGCAGGGGGCGCTTCAGAGCACAGCTTTACTTTCTGTAGTAATCTCTGGGTCCTGTGCCCCGTGGTTATGCCTTACTCTTAATAGGGCCAGTGCTGGCAGGAGGACTCCACACTCCTGGACACCTAATGACTAGGTTTGGACTTGCTCACTAGCTGAGATGTCTGACTCCACGTGGGATGGCTAAGGAGGCCCCTCCTGCACCCTTCTCCATTCTTTGGTCTGATGGAGCAGCCCCCTCTGCTCAACATTCCTGGTTTCTGTGATCACCACCCAAACCCTAAGCCCCTTTGTTCTTCTGTTCTCCCCCACACTCTATCACTATGTTCTGAATTTTCTCCCTTGGCCCAGCACCCCTTTCCTCCCACACTGCACGAAATGTTCGGTTGTCCTCTCTGGAAGTCCATCCAGCTGCATGACAAGCAAATGTCCTGATTGCCTTTGGCTGCTCTGTCATTGACAATTCCTTGCATCTCTTGGCTATAACTGTAACCTGGATTTCCCTTGAGGGCATTGCTTCCCTTATGTCTCAAGTAGAGAATATACATTCTTGCAAACTCCGAAGTACTTCAGGTGGGAATGTGGTCTATAGATTCTCCTTCCTCCTTCCAATTGCTTAGAAATGATTCTTTCTCTCTGCCTATTAGAACATCTCTTGCTCCTTAGAAACGTGTGCTACTCACCCCCACTGCCAGTTCCCTGGCACTGCCACCTTCAGATCTACCAAAGATTTTCAATGAAAACTTTCACACTTCTCCTAAAGTCTTATACTTGGGTTCATTATCCTGACTGACCTCAATGTCCATTTAAATGGCCTGATTTAATTCTATGACCTCTGCTTTTCCTGACTTCTTGTTGTTGTTACTTTAAGGAAGTCTTCTGTATTTTTAAAAGTTTTAATTGATATGTGCATATTTATAGGATACAGTGTGATTTTTCTCTACATGTGCGCATTGAGCAATAGTCAAATCAGGGTATTTAGCAGATCTGTCACCTCGGCACTTAGCATTTCCTTGTAGTGAGAAAAGTCTTTCCTTTAGTTATTGTGAAATTTTCTCACATATTCTGAACATTAACTCTCTTTGTTATACACAAAGTTTGCATTTTGTCACCAAAGTCCATCACCTACTTTCTAGTCCTTTTCATTACCCAAGAATTATCCCATTTCTCAAATCAGTGATTCAGACATGCTGTTCTGACCACTACCTCCTGTCCTTAGAGTATAATCACTCAACTGCTCTCACTTCACTGGGGCCTCACGCCCACTCTTTTTTTTTCCTTTCAATACAGGGTCTCACTTTGTCACCCAGGCTGGAGTACAGTGGTACCATCTCGGCTCACTCTAGCCTCAACCTCCGGAGCTCAAGTGATCCTCCCACCTCAGCCCTCCTGGTAGCTGGGTCTGTAGGCCCTGGGTCACCACACCTGGCTAATTTTTGTAGTTAGTAGACATGGGGTTTCACCATGTTTCCCAGGCTGGTCTCAAACTCCTGAGCTCCAACAGTCTGCCTGCCTCTGTCTCCCAAAGTGCTGGGATTACAGGCATGAGCCACCACACCCAGCCTAGCCCACTGACTCTTTTCCTTTATTTTACTCTTCTGAAGAGAAAAACCCAACCTGGTTGATTCCAAGTATTTGCCTTCCCTGTGATGCTGAATGCTGCTGGACAAAATCTCATACAACCTAAAAATTTTCACAGGACCTGGAAGATTGAAACTAAATTAGTTATGTAAGCTTTATACTGTATCCTAAATAATATCCATAATACTCAATACCTATGAGAATTTTCATAGAAATACTGTGTATTAGAATAGAAAAATTAAAATAATCTAAAAGCTTTTAAATAAAGGTAAGTTATACAGCCACACTGTACATTGTGAAAAAACATTTACAAATACAAAAACTAAATAGACGTAGATATTAGAGGTGATACTGTGGCAATCGAAGATGGGGGTGGGTGAGTTATTAACATTGATAGTTGCTAGCAGCTTAGGTTTTTCTGCCTATCTAGATGGAACTGAAAAACTATGTATTGTCACAGAAATGGCAAGGTCTCTAGAATCCGGGTTTGTTTTTTTATTTTATTTTTTATTTTTTTATTTTTTTGAGACAGAGTTTCGCTCTTGTTACCCACGCTGGAGTGCAATGGCACAATACCCACGCTGGAGTGCAATGGCACAATCTCGGCTCACCGCAACCTCCGCCTCCCGGGTTCAGGCAATTCTCCTGCCTCAGCCTCCTGAGTAGCTGGGATTACAGGCACACGCCACGAGCCCAGCTAATTTTTTGTAGTTTTAGTAGAGACGGGGTTTCACCATGTTGACCAGGATGGTCTCGATCTCTTGACCTCGTGATCCACCTGCCTCGGCCTCCCACAGTCCTGGGATTACAGGCTTGAGCCACTGCGCCCGGCCTGTTTTTTTATTTTTTTTTAATTAAAGTTTATCTTAACAAATTGAAACCCTGGAAATATGTTTTGCCATGGTTTCAAGTCCAAAATTTAAATTACTTAGTGTGGAAAACTACAGGTAACCATTTAAATTGGTTCTAGGACAGTGTCAATGCAGGTGTTAAGAGGATGCAAAGTGTATAATTCTGTAGGAGTATGACCATAACCTAGGACACAGAACTTCCCACAGGAAAGCCCCACTGACGATGAGTTCCCAATCCAAAATTACAAAACAGAGGGGTACACAAGTCACATGAGGGATTGTCAGCAGATACACAAGAACAGATTTATGCATAACTCACCAAGATTTTTATGTAAGGCAAATGTAAGGATTTATAGTTTAAAAAAAACAAGATTCTAAAGAACAGATGGCAAAAAAAAAAAAACAGAATGAAAATTACTGTAATTGAGATAACAAAATCTAATGGACAGGATAAACTAAAGACTAGATACAACTTTCTGATGCCAGAATTAAACAAAGATCACTGAAATACTAACTTAGTGAACAGGATACACTTGACATTAAATAGCAAATTAAAGAGAGACAAAGAGAATACATTTGAGGAAATTATCAAGAGATAGCAGAAAGAGACAAAATAAATAAATAAATGGTTAAGAGGTATGTAGAATAGAATATAAAAGTTTATCATATGTCCATACAGAGTACAAACATGAGAAATTAGAAAATGAAGATGAAGCACTTAAAGTGATACTGGCTGAATTCACTTAGAAATAAAAGAACTCATCTTCAGATTCAGGATACACAAGGATAGCAGAAAACATAAGAAATTCACATCTAGACAAAACAGTGCAGCTGTCAAACACTAAAGACAAAGAGCAGAACCAATAAAATAGGAAGATTATTTATTAAAATTAAACTAGAAGCAAACTTCGTGAAAAAAAAACACAAAAGACAAAAGTGAGTGGAATCATATCTTGAAAGTGTAGAGAGGAATGAACTGCCAATCTAGAATTTTATGCCCAAATTATCATTCAGAATTGAGTGCTCAGTAAAGACTTGTTCATCACTAAAGACCAGGTGCTAAACAAAGACAGGATTGACTACTAATAAACCCTCATTAGAACAATCAAAGAATGAGAAGAAGTAATTTGATCCCAGGAGGATGAAAATGCAAGAAGCAAGGCTAGAGAGCAAGGGATTGAGCTCAGATTGGTAAATAGGAAGCCCCACTCAGAGTGTCAACAAAACTTGTGGCACGGTGCATGCACACTGCTACCAGTAAGTCTAAGAAGACAACGGAAGAACACAGGAACCAGGAAAAGAAGCCACTTTCCTCTGCAGTGAAACTGTTTCCCTTACTGACATAGTATAGCATGGCATTGTATCAGCTGGTAAAAGAGAAATACAATACACAGGATCCATAAACATGACAACCAAGCTGAGTTTGGGAGCTGAGAGGCAGTAAATTCATAACTGGCACAGCAATGGGTAAAGAAAGAAAGTGGTAAACGTAAGTAAATCTGAATAAGCATCTTAGGAGTGTAATAATGGTGATAACCAACTTGGGCAGTAGAAAAACCGTGGTGAAAATAAAATGCTGGACAATAGTAACAAGAAAGAGGAGGAGGACCAAGAGACCCCTCATCCCTTTCACCACATAAGGACACAGCAAGAGCATACCATCTATGGTTGTGTAATAACTTACCTAAACCCTTATTTATTTAGGAGCCATAACGTGGTTCCTGTCTCACCAGACACTGAATCTGGCAGTGCCTTTACTTGAACTTCCAGCCCTCCAGAATTCTGAGAAATGAATTTCTGTTATTTGTAAGGAGCTTGCTTTATTACATTTTGTTAAAGCAGGTCAAACAGCCTAAGACATAATGTAAATTACATTAATTGATTCTCAAATATTAATTCAACTTTAAAGTCCCACAGTAACCCATCATCATCCTAATGTATTAGCCTTTCTATGAACTACCCTGGCTTACATTAGCAAATATGTTTAGGACTTTTACATCTGTGTTCATAATTCATACTGGCCTATAGTTTACCCTTCTAATAATGTCCTTGTTAGGTTTTGGTGTTAAGGTTGTTATGGCTTTTAAAAAAATAATTGGACAGAGGTCCACATAGTAAGGGAGTAAGGTCTCCTATAAACAACCAACAAGGAAATGGGTCTTCTCATCCATGGCCATGGGATAAGGCATCTTGGAAGTTGATTCACTTATAGCAAACTGTGAGATATTTTCAAAGTATTTAAGAAACTTAGAGGAATTTTTTTTTTTTGAGACAGATTTTTTTTTTTTTGAGAAAAAATTTGCTCAGTGGCCCAAGCTGGAGTGCAGTAGTGCGATCTGCTGCAAGTACCATCTGCTAAATCCATGCTAAATCTTGACTGAAGCACCATATTGCTTGGAGCTTCATCTGCTCTGAGTTCCATCTTGGTCAAAGTGCCATCACGCTTGGAGCTCCATCTGCTCCAAGTTCCATCTGCTCTGAGCTCTATCTTGCTTACAGCTCCATCTGCTTAGAGCTCCAACTTCTCCGAGCTCCATCATACTCCAAGCAACATCTGCTCCAACTTCCATCTTGCTTTGAGCTCCATCTTACTCAGAGCTCAAATAAGTCTGAGCTCCATCTGCTCGAAGCTCCATCTTGCTCAGAGCACCATCTTCTTAGAGCTTCAACTGCTCCGAGTTCCATCTTGCTCAGAGCTCCAATCACTCCGAGCTCCATCTTGCTCAGAGCTCCATCTGCTCCAAGCTCCATCTTGCTCCAAGCTCCAATCACTCCAAGTTCCTCTTGCTCAGAGCTCCATCTGCTCCAAGCTCCATCTTGCTCAGAGCTCCATCTTCTTAGAGCTTCAACTGCTCCAAATTCCATCTTGCTCTGAGCTCTATCTGCTCCAAGTGCTGTATCTTGCTGAGAGGTCAAATCACTTTGAGCTCTGTCTTTCCTTTAACACCATCTTCAAGGGGCTCCATCTTGCTTGGAGCTCCATCTGCTCTGAGCTCCATCTTGCTGAGTAGCATCTGCTCCGAGCTCTATCTTGCTCAGAGCTCCATCTGCTCCGAGCTCCATCTTGCCTGGAGGTCTAATCACTCTGAGCTCCCTTGCTCTGAGCACCATCTACTCAGAACACCGTCTGCTCGGAGCTCCGTCTACTCTGAGCTCCATTTGCTCCAAGCTCCATCTTGCTCAGGACTCCTATCACTCCAACCTCCATCCTGCTCTGAGCAGCATCTGCTCCCAGCTCCATCTTGCTTGGAGCTCTAATCGCTCTGAGCTCCATCTTGCCCTGAGCATCATCTTCTCCGAGATCCATCATCTTAGGAGCTCCAATCACTTTGCACTCCATCTTACCGTGAGCAACATTGTCTCCGAGTTCCATCTTGCCCGGACTTCCATCTGCTCTGATCTCCAACTTGTTGAGCTCCATCTTGCCCTGAGCACCATGTGCTCTGAGATCCACATTCTTTGAAGTTCCAATCACTCTGAGCTTCATTTTGCCGTGAGCATCATCTGCACGTAGCTCCATCTTGCTCTGAGCACCATCTGCTCAGAGAACCATCTTCTTTGGAGCGCCAATCACTTTGAGGTCCATTTTGCCCTGAGCACCATCTGCTCCGAGCTCCATCTGCTCAGAGCTCCAATCTCTCAGAGCAATCACCCTGAGCTCCATCTCTCTCTAAGCACCATCAGCAGAGAGCATTATCTTTCTCAGAGTTCTAATCATTCTTAGGTCCTTCTTACTCTGAGCACCATCTGCTTGGAGCTCCATCTTACTGGGAGCAACATCTTCCGCGAGCTCCTTCTGTTCTGAGCTACAATCACTGAAGCTCCATCTTGCCCTGAGCACCATATGCTTGCTGCTCCATCTTATTCTAAGCACCATCTACGCTGAGCTTCATCTTGCTCCATCTACTCTGAGCTCCAGGCACAATTTGTTCAGAGCTCCATCTGCTCCCAAAGGACAATTTTAAAATTTATAAACAAGGAAAAAACAATGAACCCAAAGAAAAGGGATCCTACAGATTGGGATAAAATTATAGAAAATCACGTATCCGAAAAGAACTGTTATCTAACATACGCAAGAAACTAAAGGTACTAAGTGGGCATAATGATAAAGCAACTAAAACCTTTATTTATCCAAACAACCTGCCTCTGGCATAAAAACAGAAAGGCTACCCAATGGACAGAATGAGGGGGTCCCACATGCCACCCAAATGAATGTACACTGAACGCATTTTTCAACACAACACAAAAAGACACAATGGGAAAATAATAAATGATTTTGAGCAAACTGGATAATCACATGAAAAACAGTGAAATAGGACAAAAATCGATGTAAATTACATTGAAGGCCTAAAGTCAATCTTGAAACCATTTACTTCCCTCAGAAAACAAAGGGTAAGCACATAGTTTAGAAGACTAATCTATGCACACAAGTTGCAAAATGTGAAATAGAAAAAGAAAAATTAGAAGGAAAAAACCATAGACGATCCCACAGATTGGCAATCTTTTTCACTGTCTTTAACTGCACATGGAAGTCACCACTAATATGGAAACACGTGGAACTACGGAAAACATCGGACCTTATGCTGTGAAGAGAAAACAATGAACAGAAGAGAAGGTGCCTCACAGAGTGAAAGAAAACTAGGGAAAATCCTGTCTTTGAAAGGGGTCATTATAAAATATGTGCAAGAATCTAACACTATCATGTGAAGGGAAACAAAAACAGAAAAAGAAACAAACACCTAAGCTAAGTCTGGGCAAAGGACCTGAATAGACGTGTCTGCAAAGCAGATGTCAAACTGACTCACAGGGAAAAGAAAAGTCTCTGAAAAGCGCTAATCCTCACAAGAACGTCAAGGAAAACCGCACTGAGATACAGCTTCCATCCACATAGAATGAATGTTACCTAAAACAGAAATAAAAGTTTTAAAAGGAAACAACTAGTATAGACTTTCAGAAGGGGAAACTCTTCTCATACACTATTGGTGGGAATGTCAATGTCTACACACACTAGGAAAAACAGCTGGAAGTGCCTCAAACAAAGTAAAAATGCCATCTCATCTAGCCATCATTCCATTCCTATGTGGAAGAGATACCTGCCTTGCCCTCCGCACTGCAGTACTCACGACAGCCAAGATAGGAAATGCAACTACCTGTTCATCCATTGATGAAGGGACGAGGAAACTGCAATATACATCCAGAGCAGAATATTCTTCAATCATAGAAATGGGGGAAATCGCGTCACTTGCAGCCACATGGAAAAACCTGAGGAACATTATGTCAAATGAAATACACCAGGCAGAGAAAGGCATATACTGCATGATCTCATGCATGTCGAATCTAAAACACTTGACCTCACAGAGGTAGAAAGTTCAACAGTGGTTACCAGAGGCTGTGGGAAGGGGGGCCTAGGCAGGGATTGGTACTGGGTACAAAGTTACACTTAGAAAACAGATCAGTACTGCCCTTCTCTTCTATAACGGAGTGACCAGGGTTAATATTGTAGTGAATTTTCCAAACAGCTGGAAAGGATTCTGAGTATCATTTCCACAGACAAATAATACCTAGAGGACTTCATAGATGCTAAATATTGTGATTTGATCAATATGCTAGGTGTACCCATATCAAAATGGCCCCTGTATCTTCTAGTTCTATACATACACTCTAGGGTAATTTTTTTTTTTTTAAAGGATACCAATGATGCTAAAATTTACATGGAACCATGAAACACCCTGAATTTCAAAGCAACCCTGAAAATACAAAGTACATGGAATGCATCACTGTCCTCCATTTGAAATTATACTGAAAAGCCAGTTATCTAAACAACAGATGACTGGCACTAACCGAGAAGCCCAGACCAACAGACGGAATGAGGGAGCTCAATGGCAAACCCAAATTCCTAGGGAGTGTACACGTTCTGTAAAAGAACACTGAAAGACACAACGAAGAAGGGGAAATCTGTTTAGTAAATGGATTTAAAAACTGGATATTCCTACGTAAGTAAAACAGGACCCCTATTGTGTAAAAAGACCAAGGTTTAACCCAAAATGAATTAGAGATTCATAAACAAAAGTTGAATGCATCAAACTCCTCCAATGAGAAGACATATGGTGTGGGTATATTTAGGTCAATGTGGATCTGTGCTCACAGTATGTCAAAACAAAATACAAAATACAGAGGAAAACTCATAGGTGATGGACTAGTTTGGTCATGATTCTGTTTTTCCTCATCAGTCACCTACATCAAAGGACAAGAAAACAGACACACATGGGACTGCATCATACGTTAGAGTTTGTGCCCAAGCAGATTCTTTAAAAATCCATAAATAAAATAAAAAATTATCCTGAAGTTTACAAGAAAGGTTTCTGCAAACCTACATCTGATGAAAGGTTGTCTTTCAACAAACACTACTTACTAGCAAAAACACAAAAGAGAAACTAATAACTAAACAAAATGGGGCCGAAGAACCTAAATAGACATTTCTTCAAAGAAGACGTAACATTGAAAAGAAGTTTTAAAAACTTAGATAACATCACAAATCATGAGAAAGATGTAAATCAAAACAACACACATCATCTCACTATAATTCATATGGATGTTATCAAAGCAATAAAATACATTAAAAGAGACACAAATGCTGGTGTCAATTTCCACAGAGGAACTCATTTGGTAAGAACGTTAATCAGTATACAAACTACAGAAACCAGTGGGAGCTTGCTCCAAAAGTTTAACCTATACCTACCACTTCATCTAACAAGTGTACTACTAAGTATACTTTCAAGGCAAAAGAAATCAGTCCATGCAAGAGGCGTCTGCCATCCTATGTGGACTGCAGCACTATTCACAATTGCCAAGACAAAGAGTAGACTTACCTGCCCATCCACAGATGAAGGAATACTTGGTGGATGTACACAAACAGAATCGTCTTCAGCCAGAAAACCAGAATGAAATTTCATCATTTGGAGCCATATTGTTGAACCTGGAGGACATCGTGATATATGACCTAAGACAGGCAGAAAAAGAAAAACTAATTTAGAATCCAAAATAAAAGGCTTCACTGCACAGGTCTAGAAAACACAATAATAGTTACTAAAGGTTGGAGGGAAGAAGGGGGATGGCAGAGGTCAGAAATAGGCACAAAGTTACACTTAGATGAGAGGAATGAATCTCCTGTTCCACAGCCAAGTGACCAGAGGTTAACACAACATCACACCCTTTTCACAAAATCTGGGAAATTCCAAATGTTTTCACCACAAAGAAATTAACAATTGTTTCTGATAATAGAGCCTCTAAATATCCTGATTTTATCATTCCTCTGTGTCTGCATTAATCAAAATGCCCCACTCTAACTCCCCACATTGTATACCTTTACTATATAACCAACCTTTTAAAAAACGATGTAAATACACAATGCTAACATTCATGTGGAACACAAAACACACTGAATTTCCAAAGCAATCCTGAGAAATCCAAACTACCTCGGTTGCGTCACACTTCCCGATGCTACATTTCATTGAAAAGCTAGGGACCCCATTCCACACAGAGCAGTGGAAGAGATTAGAGGACCCAGACATAAACCCTCACCCCTAACACCATCTGATCGTCAACAAAATCCACAAAAATAAGCTTTGGAGAAAGGACTCCCTCCTTTCAATACACGGCGCTGGCATAAATGACTAGCCAGCTGCAGAAGAAAAACAGTGGGACCCGTGTCTCACGGTGTACAGACATAAACTCAAGATGAATGAAAGATGTAAATGCAAGACCTCACATATGAAAAGCCTGCAGGAGAACCTAGAAATACCCTTCCTGACAGAGGATTTGGCACAGCATGGATGTGTCTCAGTCTCCAAAAGCAAGTGCAACTAAAACAATTATTGCCCAGTAGCACCTAATACACAGAAGAGCTGCTGCACAGAAGAAATGACCAACAGAGTGAACAGACGGTCTGCACAACGGGAGAAAATGTTCCCACGCGTGCATCTGATGAAGGCTAATATCCAGGATCTACCTTAAAGATGTTAAGCAAATCAATCAGAAAAACAAAAACTCAAGGAAGAAAGGGCAAGAGGCAGGAAAACATGCACCTCAAAAGAAGGCTTACAGCAACCAACAGACGTGACAACATTTCTCTACCTCAGTCATCATCAGAAAAAGGCAAAGCAAAAGGCCCACGAGATAGTACTGCACACTGGCCAGAATGACGATTAGGACACGGTCCGCAAGAATGAATGCAGGCGAGGCAGAGAAGAGGGACGCTGCTCTGCTGCTGGTGGAAATGCAAACCAGTTCAGACACCATGGAAAGCAACGTGGGGATTTCTCAAATGACTTTCTCCACATCACTAATACTCACAAAACGTCCATGAAAGCCATGCTAACATTCCGTCTCCTTCCACTCACTATGAATACTATCAAAAACAAAACACACATTTTTGAAGGCGCCAGCCAGTGTAGACTTACAGAAAGGTAACCTCTTTGACACTATTGGTGGAGATGTAAACTAGTATACACACTATGAGAAACAGCAAGAGGTTCCTGAAAAACTTCACAGTACAACTACCATGTCAGCTGGCAGCGCCACCTCTGGTTCCACATTTAAAGCAGCTGAAATCCCTGGGCTGAAGAGAGCTATCTGCCTTCCATGGGTACTGA